GTAAGTGGTGCTCGTGACGTAGCAAGTAAGCCCTATGCCACGGGGAAACTTTGCCTTAGTCACAAGTGTGGCCTTAGCACACCTCCCTAGTGCTAAGTAGCCTTAAACTCCTACAAGGCTTGGCTAGAAAGAGAAAAATTGAATGTGAGAGCTTTATTATTACAAGGGATGTTATACAAGAGGAGTTTTTGAGGGGTGTGAGGAGATTGTTACAAATAAGGGGGAGGGGTCCTATTTATAGCCCTCCGCCCTTGCCTAAGAACATTCTAGAGTTCCCTCCATTATTCATGAGTGTGAAGTTCTCTAGAACACTCCACATTATTCTCTACACTCTTACATAATTTTATAACATTCTAGAGAGTTCTAGATAATCCTAGAATACTCTCTAAGTATCAACACTATTTTAGAACATTCTAGAGTAGTCTAGAATCTTCCACAAAACTCTAGACCTTTCTAGAACCTTTCAAAATCTTCTTGAACCTTTTAGAGTCTTCTAGAAACTTCTAGAACCTCCTAGAATATTCTAAAACATTCTAGAATATTCTAGAACCTTCCTGAGTCTTCTAGAACCTTTCAATGTCATGTGACCCCCCTTTTTCCTACCGTTTGAGCTACATCCCCCGTGTGACCCCATTTAGGAATAGTTCTGGAGGACCTCTTTGTCTCTACTCAGCATGTCACGCCAAGGGGTTTGGTCAAACCTCTAGTTCCAATATTTGGGCGTGACACCTAGCTTGCTTTTCTTAGCATAGCGAGGAAATTTACATGTTGCAATTTCTCTTGTGCAACTTCTCAAAGCTCCAGTCTTAGCAAATTGGATTTTAAAAATTTTAGTTGCGGTGTCGTGAGACACTAAATATGCAGACATTTCTTAGCATTGTGAGCAGGCACAAACCCTTGAATATTCCTCCTACGTAGGGGGATACATCATGAAATTGCCAAAATTTGAACTAAACAAATAAATAAAAAAACATACATGAGACTTAAAATGATCAAAATATAACTAAATGAAGTGACAAATACAAAGTTAAACACCTAAAATACAATGTAAATGGCTCTAAAATAACAAAAAAAAAGAACGATAAATCATAAATATAGGACTTAAAGAGACTTTTGAAATACTTGTAATTTCGAGAATGCAAACAGGACCTCACCACGACACTCAAAGCCTAAAAAAACACCATGAATTTGAATGAACCCAAAATCGATGAAAATGAACTAGCCTCCCCCTATATTTATAGATGGAGAGGTTAACTTTTGTGGGACCCACAAAAATTAAAAGATAATCATTTAAAAATCATATAGAATGATAACATGTGATCTTTCTAATTTCAAAATGTTCATTAAAGTGTGAAAGGTGTCAATATTCTTTTTTATCTCGCATGACTAAAATGATCATTATAACAACAACAACAAGCCTTTATCCACTATGTGAGGTCAGCTACATGAATCATTTCTCCATTTTGTCATGTTAAGAATCAAAGGGATAATAATTCTCAAAGTTACCCAAGCATGAGGGATTCTACCCTTCACTTTGACTTTTAAGCCATCTGTTTGAGGCTGAAAATCAAACTTTGTTGTGCCAGAGGAGGAAGTCCATCTTTAGAGGTCTTTTTAAAGTGATTAGTCCCTTCAACAATATGGAAAGATACATCTGAATAACTTTATTCCCTTTTTATAAGTAGACTTTGGGAGGATTTGAAATTTAAAACATCTGCACCTTTTTTTTGCAACGAATTTGATCTTTCTGATTAGCATGCTCCCCAAGAACTTTCGTACCTTACATTCAAAGCATCGTAAGAGGTAATTTCTCCTAAACACCTTTGCCTTTCCTCTCGCCAACTCATTTTTCGTCATCAAACCTCCCACCTAGTGGCTCTTCCCTAGCTATCATACTAAATGGAAATGAAAAGCAGGTCCAAAAATAAATAAATAAATAAATAATAATAATAAAAGAAATGAAATGAAAAGCAGGTCCGTGGCTACAAACCGTTAGATATTTTACTACAAATCATCAACCACATGCCAACACCTCTAACTTTGTCCACTCATCAGCTCTAGCAAGGAAAACGATGCTTCAACTTTAGGGAGACAACATTTCCATGTCACCGAGATAAAATGTCTTCTACTTTTAGATGACATCTTTGGCTTGCTGTGAGGTGGCACCTTTATCTGTTTGAGTCGCCAAAATATTTACCCTGCAACTTGGCATCACCATTCCCCCACCATGAATCCACCCTTCATGCCCCAATATGCCATCACCAGCACATGCTCGTTCCAATCTGTGCATCCATGCACATCTGATGACTTCAACTTGGGCTTCGTTTGGGACGGTTTTTTTGCTGCTTCTAAAAGCCGCTTTCTAGTATAAAAATTTTATACTAAAAAGCGGCTTTAAGAAGCAGCAAGAAAGCCGTCCCAAACAAAATCTTAATGTCATTCTGCATCCACATGCCAACTCTAGTGTCATCAACTTCAATGTTGAGGCTACTTCAACCCATCAGCTCTCAAACCAACTTATGGATCGATTTATAAGCCATGCCTTGATTAGCTCATAGTGATTGGGCATAGCCGCTCGGTACTGTGTGGACTCATTGGTCATCAATTTGATAGGTCCTTCAGTCCAGTATGCCATCACCCACTATTTACATGTCACTGACATTGTGGAGTCCGTTATAACTCACATTATATTGATGTTGAACCAATAATGACATTTTTAGGGAATTCTAGTTCAATATAAATATTTATTTTTAATATTTCAAAGCTAATACAATAGCCCATTTGATATAATAAACAAGTATTTGTGTTATGTATACGTTACTTGGGCGATAAACCCCTACAGAGTTTGAAAAATGACTAAGTGGGTGACATTGTTGAATGTTTTAATGCAATTTCATCTTTACGTCGTAATTTTTCTACTTTACTACTTTCCTAGAAAGAACTAAAGACTTGCGAGATTTCCTTGTTTTACCTTCTTGTGTGAGGATGTTTTAATTTAATTTTTGGAAAGCACTCTAGGAAAGAATTTAAAAGCTAAAAATAATCAAGTATTCTTCCTAAAAATTATCCATTGGCCCGTCATTTCTACTAAAAATTCTCAAATGAACATTGAAGTCTAATTATAAATCAGAAAAGAAGTGTGGCAGCATTTGGCTACACACCTCCAAGGTACAAAATTAAACCAATTCGACAAAGCCTAGCTGCTGCACACTCAAATTGCATGGCTTTGAGTCAAGTAAGCATGTAATATAGAATAACTATATTTTATACTTTAGATAGCAGCCCTCATGTGCATATGGGCTATCATGCTTCCACGGCAAGATCATAAGACCCACTTTGCCTTCTTACTAGTTGTCCTTCTGTATTGTCATTTAGAAGGGTGAAACCACGTTATCATTCGAAATGGATTGGAATGTGTCCTTTATCCATAGAGCATACATCCTATCATTAGCTTTCATGATCCCCCTCCCTATGCTTAGGCATTTAGAAGAGTGAAACCACCCTTTTCCTGGTTCAAACAGTTACCCTATAGTTCCTTAGGAAAATGTAAGCTCAGTCACTTGATCTAGTCTCTTTTTTTGGGTCAAATCCATTAGTATCTCCCATGGAATTAATGTCGAGAAGTCTCAGGTTATCATTCGACAATCCTATCTTCGTGGATTGTAAGCCCCACATATCCACATCACCTCTCTAATGTCATCCAATTGTTTCACAAATGTAACCCATTGTGGAGCTCCATGTGTTGACTACCCGCTTAATCTTATCTCCCTTTGATTATGTAATTATTAGATCTCACTAGGCTGAGTTTAGGAGCAGGAAAGAATGATCTTATTAAGGAGATTTTCTAGAGTATGGCACACCCATGGGAAATCAAGTACCCATAATCAGTTAAATTCACTTTAACACCTTTTATCACTACTAATAAATTTCTAGAAGATTTCACTCAATCAGCCTTCCATTGATTCTTATGTTGGAAAGAAGAGATACATTATTTCCATCCTCTGAGGTGATATGATACAATATCTTCTTTCCTCAGACATGAAGCTCTTTTAAAGCCTACGGTGTAGTTTTGCTAAATTTTGGGGCTAAGGAACTAAAAATTATGCACTTTCTTCACCAAATCAACCATATTTGGATCATTTAAGATTAATGATGATCAAAGCCTCATCAAACAACTTTTTTCCTTGCCTAATTAACAAAGATGGAAGCTCTGTAGAGTCAAATAAGCCTACAAATATCTTGAGCCAAAACATCATCATTATCTCACCAAGTTTTCTTAACCTTTTAGTTGATTCATGGCAAAGTTGGTTTGGGATGATAATATGACCTATACAACTGCTTCTGCTCCTATCAGCTCACTTAGTGATCCTTTAAAATTTTGTTGCTTAAGGTGGAATGTAAAGTTAATATTCAAAGAGCTATGGTTTAAGGAAAAGTGAGAAAGGACTAAGAAGAAATCATTGTAACACCAACCTACCTTAGTTTCAACAAAAATCGACTCAAAAGATCTTATATAGGTGATTTGAACACTCTTAATCTAACTATTTAAATTGTAAAAGATCTGTAATTATTATTTTTCCCATGATATGAATGCAAAATTAGTGTTATTAATTTTTGTTTATCAGAAGTTATGTAAAAATAAGTAATATTCATGCATTTTTTAATGAAACAATTATATATATATATATATATATATATATTACATATTTTATATCATTGTAATAGAGTTTTACCCAAATCTAGGGGACAATAATTGATTATATTTAATAATGTTGATAATAATTCCTTTACGAGTTTTATTGATCCATGTTTCTATGAGGTTGAGTAGCTTTATTGTGCTTGATATTAAAAAATATTTAGCAGTGTTAATAGGCAGATATATTGATCTTAAATTTCCACCCTTAACAAAAACCAAAATAATAACAAGCATCCCTTCTTTAATTTGAAAGAACTCAACTACGATTGGTTTCCCAAAGGCTTCTTAAATTTCAATCACTCACCTGATTCACAAGCTCTCGCAGCGAAATGGCGGGGGCAGTCAGCGACCTAGCCCTGGAGCTCGAGTTCCTCGGCAATCCTTGCGGCTTCTTCTTCCCTATCAACGGCGACTTCACCGAAAACGAACGATCAAACACCGGCGTCATGTCTAGTCTGTCATTCTGCGGCTGCCTAAGCAACAACAACGCCGCAGCCTCCTGAATCAGCGATTCATCCGCATCCATCCCACTCTGCAACTCCACCCGCCTCTTATTGGACTTAATATCCGATTCCGCCCCTTCATTCTTCTTGGCGAAACATGACGCCATTCCACCCATTCCTTCGTTGGAGACGAAGGGAAACAAAGGAGGGCGATTTTCTTTCTAGGGTTTGAGTCAGAGCTAAAAAAATTCATTTTTTGAAGAAATATTGAAGGAAATGGTAAATCACCGGCCGAGTTCTTTTTTCGTTTCCTTCTTGTTTGCTTGCTGTTTGTAGGTATCGCTGGCTCTGTGAAACTGGAAAGGGTTGGGAGGGGAAGACGACAGCTTCATTATTTTTAATTTTTATATATACAATATGAGAGCACATTTTGCGTATAAGCCCCTAAGGTTTTTTCTGTTGTATGTTTTACAAATGTAAAATGCCACGAGCATCTCGGTTGAGGAAAAATTATTAGGTGGCGCATCGTCCGCATAAGTACTGAATACCTAACGTTATTTAGCAATATCGAGTGCGGGTACTGCTAGATATCCAATAATTGTGCGGACGATTCTCCCCATCCGCACTCCGCACCTAATAATCTCTCTGGTCTGAGCGGGGTGGATATAAATGGTAGGGGTGTCAATTCGGGTCAACGGGTCGGGTTCGGGTCGAACCCGGAACTGACCCGGCACTGTTCGGGTCAACCCGAACCCGACCCGTTTTTAAAAACGGGTCAGGTTTCTGGACCCGAACCCGACCCGATTCGGGTCCGGGTCAACCCGACCCGACACGAATGACCTGGGATTGACCCAAAAATGCTAATTTTCGGGTCAAAAATCGGGTCAATCTCGGGTTTTCGGGTCAAAATCGGGTCAAAAACGGGTCAATCTCGGGTTTTCGGGTCAAAAATGATTTTTCGTGTCACTTTCGGGTCAATTTCGGGTTGGCGGGTCAACCCGAACCCGACCCGATTTTTAAAACGGGTTGATTTCATGAACCCGAACCCGACCCGTTTCGGGTTTGGGTTGACCCGAACCTGGATTTTTCCGGGTCGGGTTCGGGTCGTGTTTCGTGTCGTGTCAAAAATTGACACCCCTAATAAATGGCAGCGGAGGTTTCTAACAAATCCTAAGAAGTTTTTTTCCCTGATTTTTCTTGTTTTTTTTTTCTTCTATCTTTTGAAAGACTTTTCTCCTTTGTCGTCGATTAAAGTTTGGATATCTCATCCGGGGTCTCGCACTCTCGCGAGTAAGAAAGTTTGGAATGGATAATTGACTTCTCGTCAATCTTCTTTCAAAGTATTTTATGTTTCTTTTATCTCCTCTTCAGATAATATTGCTTATTTTTTTGAAGATGATGTTACGTCGGCTTCAAAAAAAAATAGGGTTTAACATTAATTAACTATTCTTTGGATAAGTGATCTTATTTTGAAGCACTACCTTCGATAATGCTTAAAACCTAGAAGCTTAAAGAAAATTTTACTCTTCTTGCATAAAGTGAAGGTTTTTTCTTAATAAAGTTTTCATATCGTGAATATTATGAAAGGGTTTGGTTTGGAGATCCTTGGTTCTTTTTCGAAAAACCTTTTATATTGCAGTTGTGGTCGCTTTTGTTTTGGCCTAAACGTGAGGAGTTTACCTCTATTCCTATATGGATTAAAACTCTTGATTTGCCTTTAGTTTGCTTGACTCCAAATGTTATTTCTAAGATTGCCAATCGTGTGGGTGTTCTTGTTTCGGTGGATGCCCTTACGGCAAAGCAAGATAAGCTTATATTTGTTAGAGTTTGTGTTCTTATTAATAAAGATTCTCCTCTTCCTAAGAAAGTGAAAGTTTCAGTTGCACGTCATGTTATTTCCTTAAATATTGTTTATTAATGGAAACCAACTGCATGTTCCGGCTGTGGTTCTTTGGTTCATCCTATCTTGCTTTGCCCATTTAAGCTACAGGAGCTCAAGAGTAAAGAAAAACTTACAAAGGAAAAAGGTAGAGGGAGAAGTAGGACTAGAAATATTTGGAAGAAGACTTCTCGTTCTAATATGCCTCCTGTGGTTTCTGTTAGCTATACAAGAAACTGTACCTTCTTGTATAACCGTTGGCCATATCACCGTTGCCACGTCATCCAGACGTTAGGACATTTGTTAGTCTTTACTTTATATATACCATGTATCTCTGTATAATCCATTAATGAAAAATTCTGTTTGCTTTCCACATTCTTTTCCCTTCTCTGCTTCGCGTCCATCTGCTTCTATCAAGATGGTATCAGAGCAGTAACCTGCTTCTTCCTCCCACCCACCCGTCGGCAGAAATTTTGGACTAACTTGCCTCCTGTCATGACGACCTCCACGGCTACCTCTATTCCTTCCTCCCCTCTCGTCGCCGACGATCCGCTGCAAAACTGCCCCACCTTTCCCACTGCTCTCAAATTTCTCATGAGCAATGTAGAGAACATCGTCGCCAACGCTCTTACCGCTGAAAATCACCCCCTATGGAGATCACAAGTGCTGAAACTCTTCAAAGCTAATGGCTACCACGGATTCTTGGACGGCTCTTTACCCATTCCACCGGATACTATCATATCTTATTCTGGTGATTCAGTCCCAAATCCCGCCCACGCAAATTGGATCTTAATTGATCAAAACCTCGCGGCGGCCTTATACTCGGTAATCTCGCCTACAATTCTACCTTACATCCTCTCCGTCGACCACTGCCACGAAATATGGACTATTCTTGATCGCCGGCTCCAATCAAGCACTCGCTCAAGAATCATTCAGCTCAAACATGAGCTTCATTATCTAACCATGAAGGACAAGAACATGGCGCAGTATCTTCTTGAAATCAAGACCAAAGTCGATTCGCTCGCTGCTACCGGTGCCCCCATCGCCGTAGAAGAAATTATCCATTATACTCTGGACGGCCTTCCCTCCACCTACCAATCCTTCAAAACATCCATCCGGACAAATCTACAACCGATCTCTCTCGACGATCTCTACACTTTACTGTGTAGCGAGGAATTAAACCTCGCACATGAAACCACACGTGAACTTAACTCACTACAAATCTCAGGCAATTCTACCGCCCTTGTAGCCCAGCATGGACGTGGGTGAGGCCGATCAAATTCGTCTCGCAGTCGATCCAACTACAACAACCGGAATCAGCCATCCAACACCAAAGGCGGTCGACCACCCAGAATCGCTATCACTTGCCAAATATGCGGCAAGAATGGTCACTCTGCAGTCAAGTGTTGGCACCGCCACGACGATCAATACACTACTGAACAGCCCAACACTGCTCTCTTCACCTCCCCAGCGCCTCCGCCACCGACCGAGTGGTATCTTGATAGTGGAGCATCCTCTCATCTTACCTCGGATCCAACTCAACTTCACAACTCGCATCCCTATACCGGTGCTACTCAAGTTACCATAGGAAACGGACAGCAGATTCCTATTCATAACACCGGCAAAGGCTTGTTACCCACCCCACAAGGTAATCTTCAACTTTCTCAATTAAATTTTGTTCCTAACCTTTCTTTCAATCTTCTTTCCGTTCATCAATTGACCACTGACAACAATTACAATATTACCTTTTCTTCGCATGGCTATGTCATCAAGGATCAGACGAACAACAAAACTCTTCTCACGGGTCCGTGTATTAATGGGCTTTATCCTCTTCGTCCAAACAAGAACAACACTAATGTCACGGCCCAGCTTGCTCTCATCTCTGTTCAGGCTATTCACGCTCTTTGGCACAGGCGCCTCGGCCACCCGTCGTCGGCAATAATCTCTCAGATAGGAAAACAATTTCCATACATTTGTAATAAATCATTTACTACTAAATGCAAATCGTGTAGGATGGCTAAAAGCCACCGCTTACCCTTTTCAAGTTCTGTTAATAATACCTCTTTTCCATTTGAGTTAGTTCATTCCGACGTTTGGGGTCCATCCCAAATTACCTCTAATTACGGTTTTCGATTTTATGTTAGTTTTATAGATGATTATTCCAAATACACTTGGATTTATCCACTAACATATAAATCAGAAGTGTTTTCTAAATTTCTTGAATTTCAGAAAATGATCGAACGGCAATATCAAACTCAGATTCGCAAGCTTCGTACTGACGGCGGAGGCGAGTTCGTCAATAACAAATTCAAAAGTTACCTTGCCGCCCACGGTATCCTTCACCAATTTACTTGTCCATACACGCCATCTCAAAACGGAGTCGCCGAGCGCAAGCATCGCCACATTACCGAGACAACTCGCGCCTTGCTCATCGAAGCTTCTCTTCCTTCCTATCTTTGGGTAGACACTCTTCTCACAGCTGTTTACCTAATAAACAAACTTCCTTCACCTAACACGCACAACAAATCTCCTCACAAAATACTTCATCATGAACCACCCAATTATACTCATATGAAGGTTTTCGGGTCTTTATGCTACCCTTGGCTCAAGCCATACTCGAGTCACAAATTATCTCCTCTTTCATACCCTTGTATCTTCATTGGATATGCTCCCCTTCAAAAAGGCTATCGTTGCTTGGATCCCAATAATAATAAGGTTTATACATCTCGGCATGTCATTTTTAATGAGCAAATTTTTCCGTTCAAAACTCTCTCTACTAGTACTTCATCTTCTCACAGTCTGTTGCCCAACATTCCTCCGCTGCTTCTCGTGCCCACTACCAGTCTTCCGAACACCATCAGCAATCACCTTTCTAATCCCACTTCAAGTATACCCACATCTCAGCCGAGCACTTCGATTAATCAATATCAGGTTCCTACCTCTCCTGTCATCGAACACAGTCAACACTCGCATCCGGCTTCTAACATTAATCAGTGCACTTCTTCTCCCATATTACACCCTCCAACGCATCACATGATCACCAGATCTAAGACTGGTATCTCTAAACCAAAGCAAATTTTCAATCTCTCTCACATTCTGCACGAATTTGAACCCACTACCTACAATCAAGCAAGCAAAAGTGAGCAATGGCGTGCAGCTATGTCGCAAGAATTCCAAGCATTACAACTACAAGGAACTTGGGATCTTGTTCCTCCACATCCATCTCAAAATATCCTCGGATGCAAATGGACGTACAGAACCAAACTTAAATCCGATGGCACCATTGCGAGGTACAAGGCCTGGCTCGTTGCTAAGGGATTCAACCAAGAACACGGAATTGATTACTTGGAAACTTTTAGTCCTGTCGTCAAAATTCCCACGGTTCGTGTGTTCATTCTCGTCGCTCTTCACTTCAAATGGAATATTCACCAACTCGACGTCTCCAACGCTTTCCTACACGGTCAACTGTCTGAAACCGTTTATATGGAACAACCACCTGGGTACCA